CACTTTTAAGACTTGTCAACTTCAACTCCCAGAATTCCCTGGCCAGCAGGGGAACATGGGAGTTGAAGTCCACTAGTCATAGAGTGGACGTCTCCCAAGGTTGGAGAGCCCTGGTCCACAGCAGCTTCCTGACATCCAGCTGGGTATTTTTTTTTCCTCTGTGAAAATTGTGGATTTCTTCCTCTCCCATAGCCTTTCAGTGCAAATTTCAATACTGAGTAGATCCACTCCTTCTATCCATGTCTCTCTGCAGGGCAGAAGAGGGAAGGGGGGGGGGGCTTCTTGCCTGAGGTCCTTCCAGCAGAGCCCTGGAGTTCAACCCCGGCCCCGTTGCAAGAGCTGCAGGAGCAACCTTAGCAGCCTCAGTTAATGAAGGGCACGATGATCTCACAGGCCCTGTTGTCATTGCAACCCCAGGACCACACAGTCATTGAGTGATGGCCCCACGTGGCCACAACACGGGAAGGAATAGAGTCTCAGGCAGGCAGGCTGGGAGGTGCCTCCGAATACAGGCAGCTGAAAAGACGGCAGGAATGGAAGCTACTCCCAGGAGCAACTTGCAACTTCTGCTGGCTTCTCCAATGACTGTTGGGAGAAGCCGGTAAGGAAGGTTGCAAATGGGGCTCCTAGGACCCCACAGGGTGCCAACGACGGCTGCGGTTTCAAGGACTGGCCGCAAGTCCTGCTTGTTCAGCCCTGTTGTAACCTTGAACAGTGGGATGAGTGGATGTTATTCAAAGACAGACTATCATAGCTTTGACCTTCCCAGCTTCCCCAAACTGCCCATCCAATCTTGGATTTCCTGCCTCGTATCCCTCAAGTTCTATAAAATTCTTTTGGGGCCTTCCTTCTTGCCATAATCCTTGCAAGGGACGCAGCCCTTTTCCTTGATGCTGTGTTTCTTTTTCAAACCGAATTCGCAATGACTGGCCGGTTCTGAAGATTTCCCGCCTGGAAGGGCCCATCACCTCACAGGGGAGAGCATGTTTCACAGGCTGACACTTCATAATCAGCAGGTTCCTCCTCGTCTCTCACCTGAAGCTCCCTCTGTGTTGCCACCCACTGAGTTTCCTTGGCAACCGTTCTGCAGGGGCTTCTGGTGGCTGCCTGGTTTTGCAGCTTCTTCTCCTGGCTGGGCTGGGTTCCCTGACCCTCAGCCCCACTCTTTGCTTCCCACCCTGGCGAGAACGGCTCCGTGCTCTCACAGCTCATTCAAGGTCATTGGAGCTTCTGAGATGCTAATCCCTGGGGAAGAAGCGTGTGTGGCAATATGTGCAACGTCATCATCATGATGGAGGAATAATTGCAAAAGGTTTTTCAAGGGCTTATTCCTTAATCTGCGTGTGGTAAATAGAGGACCAAAAGTTAAGGCCTTTGCATCCTGCCTTGGTGGGTGCCTTGGCAGTTACTGCTGCCGCCACCTATCTTCCAGGCTATTTATTTATTGACTGTCCGCCTCTAACACTAGTGTGTAAAAGAGACAGGCTGCAGACCTCAACGGCAAGGAAAATGAGTGATGAAAAAGAAAGCCAACTCTCAATATGCGTGGCCCTACAGCACTGAGGCATATGACTAAGTACATCAGCCCTTGTTCCTAGTCTTTCTTTCGAGCAGGCAGACCAACCTCACAAGGGAGAACTAGAATCAAACTTTATTAAAGAAAAGAACCAGAACATCCTTGAATTTACACAGAAAACAAACGGACAGAGTCAGTAGAAGTGGAGAGCCACTCAGACTGCAGGCAGCATCTTGGAAAAACCTCCTGCTGAAAGATCACCGGAAAAAGATCAGGCTCTAAGTTGATCCCTCTAAGGATGACCTGCTCCTATGTGAAAGTCACACTGATGCAAAGAGGTGCCAGTTTGCATGAAACACGCAAGGATCGGGGCCCCGGAGACAAAAGGGGAAGCGCCCTCAGAACAAAAGCCTCTTTCTTCCATTAGGAAGGACCTGAACTCCAATTCTGGTGGAAATGGTGGAATTTCAGCCCAGCAGTCAATCACTTTTCTGAGCCTCCATAACATACAATACAATAGCAGAGTTGGAAGGGACCTTGGAGGTCTTCTAGTCCAACCCCCTGCCTAAGCAGGAAACCCTACCCCGTTCCAGACCAATGGGTATCCAACCTCCTCTTAAAGACTTCCAGTGTTGGGGCATTCACAACTTCTGGAGGCAACTT